TTAAAAATTTTTCTTGCCTGAGTACTGTGGTGAATAGAAGAGCCAAGAGGGGGCATCCTTTCCCTGTTCCTGATCTTAAGGGAAAAGCTTTCAACCTTTCGCCACTGAGTATAATGTTAGCTCTGGGCTTATTATTTTGTTACACATTTCTTCTACACCCAATTTCTTGAGAGCTTTTATCATGAAATAATGTTGAATTCTGTCAAATGCTTTTTTGTATCTGTTGAGATGACCATATGATTTTTATATTTCATTCTATTAATGTGGTATATCATATTTGTTGATTTGCATATGTTGAACCATCTTTGCATCCCAGGGATACATCCCATTTGATCATGGTGGATGATACTGTTAATATGCTATTATATGATTTTGCTAGTATTTTGTTGAGAATTTTTACACCTACATATTTCAGGGATATTGGCCTATAGTCTTTTTCTTTCTTTTTTGAGAGGGAGGGAGGGTGGGGGGGAGAGAAGGAGAAAGGGGGAGGGAAGAAGAGAGAGAATCTTAAGCAGGCTCCTCACCCAGGGCGGAGCCCGACACGAGGCTCGATCTCACAACCGAGATGAAATCAAGAGTCAGAAGCTTAACCGAATGAGCCACCTAGGCACCCCTGTGTTTCTTTTCTTATAGTGTTCTTATCTGGCTTTGATAACAGGGTTATGCTGGCTTGATAAAATAAATCCGGAAGTGGTCCTTTGCCTCCAAGTTTTTGGAAGAGTTTGAGAAGTATTGGTATTAATCCACTTTTTTTTTTTAATGTTTCTAAAAAAAAAAATTTAGGAGAAGGGGGAGGGGTAGAGGAAGAGGGAGAGAATCCCAGCAGGCTCCACACCCTGAGATCATGACCCAAGCCAGAAATCAAGAGTCAGACACTTAACCAACTGAGCCACCCAGGCACCCTGGTATTAATTCACCTTTAAATGTTTGATGGAATTCACTCATGAAGCCATAGGGTCCTGGGTTTTTCTTTTCTGAAAGGTTTCTGATTACTAATTCAATAGCGTTATTCATTATTGGTCAGTTCAGATTTTCTATTTCTCCTCCAATTAGTCTTATTAGGCTGTATATTTCTAGGAATTTATCCATTTCTTCTAGGTTATCCAATCTGTTGGCATGTAATGGTTCATACCAGTTTTTTGTTTTTTTTTAAGATTTTATTTATTTGACAGAGAGCAAGAGAGCACTAGCAGGTGGAGCAGCAGAGGGAGAGGGAGAAGCAGGCTCCCCGCTAAGCAGGGAGCCCAATATGGGGCTCAATTGCAGGACCCTGGGATCATGACCTGAGCTGAAGGCAGACACTCAACTGACTGAGCCACCCAGGTGCCCCACCCAGTTCATATCAGTTTATGATACTTTGTATTTCTGTAATATCAGTTGTAATGTTTCCTTTTTCATTTGAGTTCTTGCTCTTTTTTACTTAGTTTAGCTAAAGATTTGCCAATTTTGTTTATCTTTTCAAAACATCAGCTCTTAGTTTCATTGGTCCTTAGTATGTTTCTGGTCTCTGTTTCATTTATTTCTGCTTTAATCCTTGATTTTTCTTTTTCTTTCCTTTTCTTCTTCTTTTTTTAATAGTAAGTTCTACACCCAATGTGGGGCTTGAATTCATGACCCCGAGATCAAGAGATGAATGTTCTACCGATTGAGCCAGCCAGGTGCCCGTTACTCCCTTTCTTTTGCTAACTTGGGCTTAGTTTACTCTCCTTTTTCTAGTTCCTTAAGGTATAAAGTTAGTTTATTTCCCATATGACTTATGAGTCATGAAAATTTGAAACCTCTGGGATGCAGATCAAATAAGAGGGAATGGGTTTGAGAGGAGGCTGGGAAAGGATAACAGAGCCCTGACACCTATGGTAAAGATTCTAACTGCTGGAGAAGCACAGATGAGGGATCAGATGAGATTTACATTTTTAAAAGATTATTTGCAATAGAGAGAATGAAGCTGGTAAGGGCAAAAGTGGTTGAGATGGAGGAAAAAGAAATTACTACAGAAGCTTGCATTAAGGATTTCTCAGTAGAGATTTATTCTTATATATGTGCATATTAGTGTGTGATTATATTCACTTAAATATGACAAGTATGATGGACCCTGTGCTAGACTGTGAGAAAGCACAGTAATTACTCTAACATATTATAAGTGCATAAATTAAATAAAATGCATATGAAAGCCACTAAATTAACACAAACTATTAAGCATTAAAGAATATTTCCTTGGTACTTCATTCTTTTTGGTGTAATTGTAAATGGATTGTTTTCTTAATTTCTCTTTTTGCTACTTCATTATTAATGTATAGAAATGCAATAGCTTTCTGTATATCAATTTTATAACTTGCATCTTTATTAAAATCATTTATCAGTTGTTAATAGTCTATGGTGGAGTCATTGGGTTTTTTTTTTAAGATTTTATTCATTTATTTTAGAGAGCGAGAGAGAACATGCACTGCATACAAGTGGGGGAAGGAGGAGAGGGGGAGGGAGAGCGAGAGAGGGAATCTCTGAAGCAGATCATGTGCTGAGCACCGAGCCTGACACGGGGCCCGATCTCATGATCCTGAGATCATGACCTGAGCCAAAACCAGGAGTGGAATGCTTAAGCAACTGAGCCACGCAGGTCCTCCTGGGTTTTCTCTATATAGTGTCAGGTCATCTGCAAACAGTGACAGTTTTTACTTTTTTTTTTTTTTTTTTAAAGATTTTAGTCATTTGACAAAGAGAGATAGCAAGAACAGGAACACAAGCAGGGGGAGTGGGAGAGGGAGAAGCAGGCTTCCTGCCGAGCAGGGAGCCCGATGCGGGGCTGGAACCCAGGACCGTGGAATCACGACCTGAGCCAAAGGCAGACGGCCAATGACTGAGCCACCCAGGCACCCCTTTACTACTTCTTTACCAATTTTGATGCCTCTTCTTTCTTTTCCTTGTGTGATTCCTGCAGTTGAGTACTATGTTGAATAAAAGTAGTGAAAGTGGACATCCTTGTCTTGTTTCCAAACTTAGTGCAAAAGCTTTCAATTTTTCACTGCTGAGTATGACGATGGCTGTAGATTTTTCATACATGGCTTTCATTATGTTGAGGTATGTTCCCTCTAAATCCACTTTGTTGAGTTTTGTCACGAATGGCTGTTATATTTTGTCAAATATATTTACTGAGATGATCACATGGTTTTTATCGTTTCCCTTGTTAAAGTATCATATTGATGGATTTGCCAAAAGTGAACTACCCTTGCATCCCTGAAAGAAATTCCTTTGACCGTGGTGAATGACCCTTTAATGTATGTTGACATTGCTTTGCTAATTTTTTTTTAACCTATGTTCATCAGAGATTTTGGTCTGTGGTTTTCTTTTTTTGTAGTGTCTCTGTCTGGTTTTTGTATCAGGTAATAGGGGCCATGTAGAATGAATCTGGAAGTTTCCCTTCCTCTTTTATTTACTGGAATAGTTTGAGAAGAATAGATATTAAGTCTTCTTCAAATGTTTGGTAGAATTCATCTGTGAAGACATCTGGTCCTGGAATTTTGTTTGTTGGGAGTTTTTTGATTACCAATTCATTTCTAGTAGTAAGTCTGTTCAAATTTTCTATCTTTTCCTGATTTGGTTGTGAGAAATTGCAGGTTTCTAGGAATTCATCCATTCCTTCTAGGTTGTCCAATTTGTTGGCATATAATTTTTCATATTCTCTTGTAATCAATTGTATTTCTGTAATGTCATTTGTTATTTCCTCTCATTTCTGATTTCATTCCTTCCTTTTTCTTGGTAAGTCTGGCTAAATGTCAATTTTATTTATCTTTAGAAAGAACTCAGCTCTATCATTGATCTTTTCTATTGTTTTTTTTTCCACGTCTGTTTCATTTATTTCTGTCCTGATCTTCATTATTTCCTCCCATTTACTAGCTTTGAGATTTGTTCTTTTTCTAGCTCCTTTAAGTGTTAGGTTAGGTTGTTTTGAGATTTTTGTTTCTTGGGGTAGGCCTGTATGACTTTAAACTTCCCTCTTAGAAATGCCTTTGCTGTGTCCTAAAGATTTTGGACTTCACTGTTTTCATTTATTATTTATTTGAGAGTGAGGGCAAGAGAGAGAGGAGAAGAGCAGGGAGAGGGAGGGAACCCTGAAGCACACTGTGAGCCCAACGATGCAGGGCTGGATCCCAGGACCCTGAGATCATGACCTGGGCTGAAATCAGGAGTCCGCTGCTTAATTGACTGAGCCACCCAGGAGCCCCAGTAAGACTCCTGAATGCAGGTATTCTATGTCACCAGGTAGGTGCAGGACCTTATGCTTAAGGAAGTCAAATAGGGTTGACATCCTCTTATTCAAGTTAAGGAGTACAAGAAAGTAAACCTAGAGGAAAGCCTCTCAGTACACAGAGGTGGGCAAAGGAGTTGAGAGAGGCAGGCTAGGAATTGCCCTGGGGGAGGAACAGTTTAGGCCACCTGGCTGGCCTCATGGATCAGCACAGCCTCCCAATGCCTTGATAGTTGAAAGAGTGGGAAGAATTTGGGGCGGGGGGAGATCTTAGGTCAAAATAACTGCCCAATTTGTGTGGTTACCATGCACCAGTCCTTTCTAAGGGTCATCTAGTGAAACAATTAAAAGGCTAGTTAGGAATGAATAGTTCTCTTTAGTCTGAAACTCACCAAAATCACTTCAAGGTTATTAATTTATATTGACTAGGGGGCGCTTGGGTGGCTCAGTTGGTTAAGCAACTGCCTTCGGCTCAGGTCATGATCTCAGGGTCCTGGGATCGAGGCCTGCATTGGGCTCCCTGCTCAGCGGGAAGCCTGCTTCTCCCTCTCCCACTCCCCCTGCTTGTGTTCCCTCTCTCGCTGTCTCTGTCAATTAAATAAATAAAATCTTTAAAAAAAAAAAATTATGTTGACTAGGATATCTTGATCATATTCTCCAGAAATTATATTGTTACTAAGTCACAACAGTATCAATTGTGCTCTGATTTGAGAATGATCTTGTGGTAGACAGGGTCTCATCTTAATTAGCTCACCTGAAGATCTTTTGGCAAAATGGTATTCTTCCTGAGTGAATTGATCCGTAGCCTCTCATCTGCATATTCATAGGCCATTTTTCGTCTCTTCACATCACGCAACATTTTCCAGTCTACGTAATAACCTCGAACTTGGCCTGAAGGTGATGAAGGAACCATCTAAAAAGATAAGGAACAAGGTGAAGGATCATCAGACCCAGGCTCTGCCAGTGTCTCTCATCCTGTGATACCTTTATTGACCATTTATGACCTAATAGTTTTTTTTCCTAGTAATTTTGGATCACTTTAATAGCTTAAACTAATAGACTCAATTCAAAATAAATAACTTCTACAAATGTACATTAATCCAAAATGGTGGTAACTAATAATGCCAATAAGGTGTGTTAGAGAATGAAATATTTTAAGATTTTTAAATATAATTGTTTGACCTTTACTTAGGCTAATAGCTATATGGTTCAAAAACCAAAAAATAAAAAGAAATAGTATAGACTCCCTCATCTCATCCCTTACCTGCCCAATGACCACCCCTCTACCTCCAAAGGTATCCACCATTACTAGATCCTGCGTATCCTTCCAGAGATCTTTGTCTATACAAATACATATACATACTTCCTCCCCCATATTTCATGCCCCCCCCTTTTCTCATTTAACAATATATCTTGAAGATCTTTCATATCCATATGTTAAAAAGTTTCTCCATTTTTTTTTAGGTTGCATATTCCACTGTCCATACAGTAGACTTGACAAGGTTCAGGGCACACGACCTCAAAATATGACACCTTGACATTATTGACTACATCAAGCACAAGGAATTTGAGAAACAGCAGGTGCAGGAAAGACTTTCTGACCTCCCCCTAAAGCAGGTGTTAAGACCTTCAGGTGAGAGGTGCCCTCCCTATACCTGACAGGGGTTTGGGAAGGGGGGTATGGGCAACGTTATCATTGAAGATGGAGGGACACCAAGAGGAATCAAAGAACAGGCCTTGCTGTTTGCGGAGTTTACCACACTTAGCTCATACTCTTATCACATTTCCCCACAACTTCCCACTTCACCAGACCTAGCATTAATATTCAGGTTTAACCCTTTGGTTATCACTTCCTTATAAAGGCTCATGTATCATGTAAAACTTACACATTTGTATGCTTTTCTTCTGTTCATGTATTTTGTTATAGGGGCCCCAGCTGAGAACTTAGAACAGAAGGAAATGATTTTTTCCTCCTCACAGATGCATCATTTATTTAATCTGGGACCTCCTGGCAGACATCTAGATCACACCTCACCATTTATCGTTAAAAACAACGCTGCACTGAGTAAACTCCTACATAAATTATTTCACATGCATTCCTATAGATCAGCAAGGTACATTCTTGGAAGCAGAATTGCTGGAGTAAAGGGTACTTTGAAATTATCACTGGACTAATATTTCTTAGCATAAGTTGTCTAGTAATAAGACAGTATGTTTCTCACTGTCACATGTTTACTTGGTAAAAAGAAAACCACAGGCCCCAAATGTCATCACTTAGGCTGGGTCCTCAAACAAGAACTTAATACCTAATCTACTTGCAGTTTCAACCTCCCCCAGAAAGTCTTAACTGATTAGGCAGGAATTTTCTGATGGGTGCCAATACGTGCCACCTAGGCCCCATCCCCCAAAGGAAGATGAGGCCGTCTGCGTTAAGACCCCCTGCTCCTCCCGCCAAGGGAAAGTGACCTTGTCTGAAGACAACTAATGATTTTCTTGCCCCACCCTTCCTATAAAAAAAACCCCTCCCATTCTGTACATTTCCTTAGAGCTCCCTTCTACTTGCTGCTGCCTGATAGTGAATCATTTAATAAAGCCAACTGGATCTCCAAATTTACTTGGTTAAATCTTGTTTTGTTTTAACAGATTTAGCCATAGCGTTGGGCTATGAATCGAACTTCTCATGGCATTCGGGGACAATGAGAAACCCATGGCACCCTGTGAACCCTTTTGAGTTTGGTTCTTCTTGCCATTTCTGAGAGCCACTGCTAAGCCCCCCTAGGTTTCAGCTTTGCTCCTCTTGCATTCGAGATACTTATCTAATATTGGCTTTCTAGTCCGGGGTTAATGGGTCCATTTAGACCAATGGGGATCCTAACCGAGTGCCTGTCCTTCTCACTTGGTTTAGTCTGCAATTCCACATTGGAATCCCTTCCCCAGTTCCAGTCTGCATTCCCCACTTACTGGGACTTACTGGTTTGGTCCTTTTCCCATTTCCTGTCAGCAGTCTCCCTGAATGGAGTCTGCTGGTTGGTTTAGTGCACATTGGTAACTGCTGATGGTGCACACGGTCTTCTGTTGGCCAGTCTGCAGTGACATGTTTTCATTAGTGCTGGTGTGGCGAGGTGCATGTTTGTTTATCTTGTTTTGTGTGTACCTAAAGGCTATAGCTAACAGGGATCTTGAAGACCAAAAAGCCACAAAAATTGGTGGGCACAAGTTGAGCATGTGAGAGCGTAGAGCGCTCGCCATCTAACTCAAAGACTCCTGTGTTAGGGGTAAGTGGTCACAGAAAGGGTTAGATGGACAGTAGGTCACCACCAACCTCAAGAAACTTCCATGCAATGAGATACTATGTAAAACACAGTTCCCAGCCCTGAAGCACACCCCTCCTACATAGGAGATTGGTTGAGAGACCCAAAGCGTAGCTAAAGCGGTCAATGTGCACATAAACAACAAAAACAAACCAACACTGGGTAGGGGTTTTCCTTTCTTCTTGTTCTCTGACCTAAGAGTTTGGCTTTGTGACTGATGAGAATATTCTCTGTGGTCTTCACCATCTGGAGGGTGCACTTACTGGGGTGCACATTTATGGCCAGTTGAACAGACTGGGGATCTGTTACAAGCAGCGCTCTCTTTGTTGGGCAGTGCTGGCTCTCAGGAGAGTTTGTCCTAAGAGGTCCCAGCCTATTAGGGGCCTTTGTCATAACCTGTGTTGCTTGTTAGTGCTAGAAAACCCATTCCAGACTACCTGCCTGGTATCACAGATTAGGCGGTTGTGACTAAAGGCGATTCACGTTTGTGGGAGACTGGAGACTGCGTGCACACATCATTCTTATCACCTGTGCAGTGAAGTCTTTGCCTTTTTTTTTTTTTTTTTAAGATTTTATTTATTTGACAGAGAAAGACACAGCGAGAGAGAGAACACAAGCAGGGGGAGTGGGAGAGGCAGAAGCAGGCTTCACGCCGAGCAGAGAGCCCGATGTGGGGCTCGATCCCAGGACCCTGGGACCACGACCTGAACCGAAGGCAAACGCTTAACGACTGAGCCACCCAGGCGCCCGAAGTCTTTGCTTTCTTAAACTATTCTTCGGAGTAAACTTTTGGATCAAGGTGGCTGCATTATCTATGCCCTCTGGATGCCCCTTGTCTTTGGGTAAGCCATAAAAGGCTTATTGGTATGAGTTGATATTAAAATGAATGAGACCCTACTTGTCAATGGCCAAATGATGGATCCTTTAAATTGGCTATATTTGGGGAAAAAAATATCTTTAGAAAGAGCTCTCAATTGCCTTATTAGTATAATGGCTGGCCCTAGGGACTCCCTTGACAAGAAAAAGAAAATAAGACAAATAATGTCCACATCCAATCAAAATTCCCCTCCTTAAAATCCAGCCCCATCTGCCAGTTTTAACTTCCCCTTTCCTACAAAATTTGCAGAGAGCACTCCAGCCTAATCTTTAGGTTCAAAGTATATATGCTACTTCTGTAAATGTGAAAAGCCAGAACGTGAATTTAGCAGAATCACTGGGAACTGTAGGGTTTGGTTTACTGTAACTAACCCCTCCCATCTTCACGCATTTTCACACAATGATCTTTGTAGATATAACCTAGACACTTCCTCCCCCAAAAGATTCATGTCCCCTGAAAAGCAGCAAATTTTTTAAGGTATAAAGCTAATACTTTATACAAATAGAAGTTAATAGATGCCAAGGTTGAATTGTATAACCAGAAAAAAAGGTCTCTATTGAATGGCTTTATTTTATACAGATTTTACAAAGACAGAAATCCTTTAGTTCTCATTTTAGTTAAAAATCTTCCTAATATGAAGAAAGAAATCTAGTTAAAAAGGTGGGCCGGTTCCTTGATATTCAGGCTGTAAATCCATTCCTTGGAGAATTAAAAACTGTCTCTGTCTTACAAATCTCTACAAAACCAGAAATGAAACTCCAGAAACAAGTCAAAACCCACCTATCTTTACCAATGCCCAAACCTCGCCTAATCCTCTCAAAATGTTGTAAAAGACCAGGATATTGAAACAAAATTGTCCTCTTAAGAAAAAGGGTAAATTTTAGGGGCCCCTGGGTGGCTCAGTCAGCTAAGTGTCTGCCTTGGGCTCAGGTCATGATCCCGGGGTCCTGGGATCAAGTCCTGAGTTGGGCTCCCCGCTGAGAGGGGAGGTGATAAATCTTATCACATCTCTGAAATGTAAGCACAGCCCATAATCACCTGAGACTGAAGGGGGAAAAAAGGGCCTTTTTTTTTTTTTTTTGAATGAGTGAGAGAGAGAGAGAGAGAGAGAGAGAGAGAGAGAGAGAGAGAATCCCAAGCAGACTTCCCACTGAGTGCAGAGCCCCTCGATGTGGGGCTTGAGCTCACCACCCAGAGATCATGACCTGAGCTGAAATCAAGGGTCTGATGCTTAACTGACTGAGCAGCCTGGGTGGGTGCTCCATGAGAGAGGTCCTTTCAAAATACAAACTGCTAAAAGGGTTCTTAGGCTCAGACTTCAGCACCTCTGATAACAGAGGGATAGACTCCAAATCTCCACCTTGAAGAAAATTTGGATACTTTCTCTGTAAATTTTCTACCCCTATCTTCTCCACGACCTAAGAGCAAATACAAAACTACAGGGAGAAGTTTTTCATCCAAAAAAACAAAAGAATACAGGGAGGTGTTTGGAAATCAGGCCTATATGTCCTCTCCACAAATATTAGTAAAAACAAATGCTATAAATTTTTGTTTACATCTTGTCTGTGTATTTGTGTCCATTTATGTTGTAAATATTAGATATTTTCTCTACCTCCACCTGGTACAGGTAAAATTATTTTGTAAAAGAGCTCTATTTAGTTGGTTTGAAGGCAAGTGCTTGTAAAATTTGTGCATTCTGAAACTCTAAGAAACTAACCCAAATGT